CCGCTCAAATTATATTATAATTCACATTTTTTTCTGGGAAAAGTTATGTTACTCGCGTTCAAAAGTGATTGTCCAATTTTACTTCCCAAGAGTTAAATAGAATAGTTTTACTAGATTGATGATGAGTGATGAGCTATTCCACGTTCCTTTGTTTTGTTTTTCTAATACATAAAAGAGAAATTAAATTCTCACTGATAAGATGAAAATTTAAGTAGTCAACAACCTAAACTACTGTAATCGCCCATGTCCTTTGTTCAAAGTTGTCGGTCACATTTTCAAATTATTCTTCATTTTTAAATAACTGACTTTGTAAATTGTAATAAATAGGGATCATTTATTTAATATCACCAAGACAGTGATCAGTATTATTTACTAATGCCCTAGATCTAACTTAATCAAAGATACTTTGACTGGGTCAATAAACAATTAAGAAGGCCTATGGGCTAGGCTGTGATAAAAAAAAAAAATAATAATAATAAAAGCTATTTTTACCTTCATATATTACATATTGACTTTATTATCCTCTCTAATTAAGCTTTAACTTAATTACATGAGCATATACAATTTATCAATTATATACAAATTAATATTAATGAATATCCTTTTATATTAGAAATTGAATAGAGAATTAATTATTTTCCATCCCTGTTTTTTCTCTCTCTATGTCTCTCTCTTTCTCTCCTTCTCCTCTGTTTTTTCCCCAATTTTTCTTCCTTCATTTTTTTTATGCTTTTTATCCTCTCTTTTTTCAGAAAATTCATCAATGAATTTCAATTGTTTTAATATAGAGTTTTAACTTAGCAATTTTCTTCCATGTTACACAATTGGTGTTCGAATTGAAATTATCAATCAATAAATTTTGAAGGTGTTTGACTCTCCATCATTAACAACTATTAAAAAGCTTCAAAGCTTTGAATTCGAATTTGGGTTTTCAAAAACTATTATTTTGTTTGGATTGGGTGTTGTTGCAAATAATTAGAAATATTCTTTGAAGCTTATATCTCAGCTTTGAGGGTGTTTGGTGAATATTAGACTTGATTTTGGCTGAATTTCATAATAATAATAATAATAATAATAATAATAATAATAATAATAATAATAATAATAATAATAATAAGAAGAAGAAGAAGAAGAAGAAGAAGAAGAAGAAGAAGATGATGATGATGAAGAAGAACAACAACAACACATGACACATACAATAGTTATCAAATTGTATTAAAGTTGTATGCAAATTATATTTAAATTGTATTCTATTATAGTTATATATTTATTTTATTTGAATATTGTATGAAAGTTGAAAAATAGTTGTATAATGTATAAATCGTTATATGAAATTTTTATTTAAGTTATCAATACTATCTTTTTACATAAAGTTGTTGATATGTATCAAAATGGTATTAAAAGAGGAAGTTTTGATTGAAATTTCAAAGAGGAAGAAGAACACACCACATACAAAATGTATACAAATCAGATACAAAATACATACAAAAGACATATTGTATAAAATTTGTATGAAAATTATATTTAAGTTATATGATATTGTAGATGTATTTAACTGGATAAAAATAATGTATGAAAGTTGTAAATAAATTATAAATAAGTGTATACTATATAATTAGTTGTATAAAATTTATTTTTAGTATGTGTGTTGTTGTAGATATATATCAATTTTGTATTAAATTTGTTAGAAATTTATTTTTAAATTTGTATGTTGGTGCACCATATATTGTTCGAGATGTTGAATTTGAACACAAAGCTTTTAATTTTTTGATGGCTGTCAATGATGGAAAATAAAATACCCTCAAAGTTTATTGATCGACAAACAATTCGAACAATAATAGCGCAACAGGAAAGAAAATATCTTTTTACAGTCATGTCTAGCTATGCAAAGAACTGAACTAAACAAACCAATTGGAGTCCAAGGACAAGGTCTTTATATTTTAATTCGATATTTGTTCCCCCTAAAACCACCAACTGCTCATTTCGTTCCTCAAGTCAGGTATATATTGTACAATTGTGCCATCTTCCACTGGCTCCATATCTGCAATTTCATTCACAAACTTTATTGAGAGAGGGAGAGTGATGAAGAAAGAAGGAAAAATGATGAGAGAGGCGGCGTGAATAGGAAAAGAGGATAGGAGAGAAAAAAGAAAAGGGATGTAACCAAATCCTCTAATTTAAGGCATTAATAATGGATTGCGTATAATTTATAAGTAATTTTTGTTAAGGTCAGGTAATATACAAAATTAGGATAATTTTGGTAAATAAATTTCTAATATTGTATAGGAGGGAAAATCTCAAAATAAAAACTTGATCAAAGCAAAGTGGAATACGTCTGACTGTCTAACCGTTTGGCCATAAAAATAGATTACTTTTATCTGAATTTTTTTTTTATTTTTTTTTTAAAATTAGTGTTTGGCCATGAAATTTTCGATTTTCACTTGAAGATGAATTTCGTAGTCTTTCGAAAATTTAAAAAACTCCAAAAAATAAATTTTCAAAATTTTTAGTTCAGATCACTCACAAAAATTCAAAAACAGCCCAAAATTATATTCATGTCCAAACACAATTCAAATTTTCAAAATACCATTTTCACCTGATTTTTTTTAAAAACTTTTTTCTGAAATTTTATAATTTTTATGTCCAAAAGTCTACTTAAACTATTTTGAACCCTGCACCCCCTCCCCCAATCTCTACACTTCTCTCTTACTTTATATGTTTATCAGTTTACTTTTCAATCACCATTAGGTAAGAAAGTATTTTTAGTGGTCTTGAGAGGGAGGGAAGGGGTGATTCTTTTTAATTAAAAATTATTTTTTAAGACATATGAAATTTCATTTTATGTTTTCTCTCGTGTTTGGTATCCGCTTTAGTTTCGGCTAATCTGAATTCGCGCTGAAAAATATCATTTTAGAAGTACAATGCTCCCTGCTAAAGGGACTTATCTTTACTTTCATAGTTTTGGTAATCTTATAACCTCAAATTCTAGATCACATTAGGATGACTCGCATTAGAAGAAAAAAGAAAACTTTAAAAGGCTAAGGACGAAAACTTCACGTGTTTCCTTTTTCCAAAATTTTACACTTCAATTACCATTTTCCCATCCTCAAGAAGTTTTCACCTCCTATATTCGTTTTTACAGATCCATATACCAACAATGTAATATTGATACAAGAATTTTGTTTCAGTCCTTCAGGTTCTTAAGAGGCGAATTACATTAAAAACTTAGAATTTCTCATAAATCTCTCATATTGGTCAACTAATAGTCTAATACTGATTATATACAAAGAAACTAAATTAACGTGGATCAGCCAACGAAAAATGGTTTTCCACTTCGCAATTTTTTTAAAGGGTGCCCACGGCCGATTTAGAGTGAATGAATTGTTGGTGGTGCTTGAATAACAAGATTATGGTAAGACTTGGTTTTAAGCAATTCTGAATAATAGCCAACTTAAGATAATTTCTTCTAGATCTAAACTTAAGAAAAGATAGAGACATTGAATTTGCACACTGACCTAGTTGACCTTGAAAACGTATGTTTCTCTTTATTTTTTGTCTATTGTCTGCTCATTAATTTGCACCTATGGTGGAGGTGCTTGTCGATGCTACTTGTCTATCCATCATTCATATGTCAATTGAATAATTCTTCACCTCTCATTGCACCCAATCAGAATTTAAAACATAATTTGTTCCTTCTTCAAGCTTTCCGTTGGTTTTTTCAATCTTTCATAACAGCCCTTCTTATTGTCATTGCAAAACCATAACTCTACCACCACCACGATTTACATAAAGCATATTTAACGAGTACCAAAGAATGTGTACTGGCTATCATGGGCGGATTTAGGAGGCGGAAGGGTGTTCACCAGTGGCGGAGCCACGTTGAAGCAAGGGGTGTCAAAACACTCCTTTACCGAAAAATTACGCTATTTTGTTAGATAATTTTTTTTATTTTATGTATATTTACTATACGTTAATTCCCCTTGACTTTTTTATGTATCTAATTATTTATGTTTTGACACCCCTTGATGAAAATTCTGGATCCGTCACTGGTGTTCACCCAAACCCCCTTTGCCGAAAAATTACTATATTCTAAAGGAGATTCAATTGAACCCTTTAGACTATGTAGTTTCGCATCTAAGTTATTTATGGTTTATCTTTTAGATGATCTTGGCTGTATCTATACATTAAAAAAAGAGTTCTGCATTTCTCCGGGTTTGGGTTAAGAAAGGCACGGCGAAGAGTGAGAGTGGGGCTATGAGTACTCTTTCGATGTTGTTCTCGGACCACCCATCTCTTCTTTCCCTTTGCCCAGCCCGCTGAAACCAAAATTCTTTTGGAACGAAATGAAGTGCTAAAAAGAGAAGACTGTTAGTGGAAAATCCTTATTCATGAAAGCGCCTCGTTATAAAAACTATTTCATGCTATATATAAAAGCTCAACTATTAGGATTAAAACAGCTAGCTAGTAATTCATTTCCTTCCAAATGTGAAGTTAAACAAAAGCAAAAGAACAAAAACACAAAGTTGTGTATGATCTTACGATGATATTTCCTGTTTGGGTAAAATACCACACGACCCAGATGCATAATTTAACCCTGTGAGTTTTACTAAACCTCGTAAACTCAAGTAAGGTGGAGAAAACGGCAATCCAAGAGACTCATCAATAAAATCAGTAACAGTTTTCCCATTTGTACACCTTCCAGTAGCTCCTCCATTGAAATTTATACCATAATGCTTGAAATCAGCCTTAGCAAAAGTTGGCAAAAGATTATTATTGCCACTGTCAAATAATGAATCCCCAAAAACATATAATGCTGGTGCCAGTATAACGGAGGTTCATCCGGATTTAGGAGGGTCGGATAGTATAACGGAGGTTAAATGTAGACAATATTCTAAAGTAGAGGGTATATTTGGCCCTTTTCCCAAGAAGAAATGTCATTCCACAAAGCGTTAATGGTTATCTATACAAATCATTCAGTTGCTACTATAGGAGGAAGGATATATGAGAATCATGCATGAAACTTTTATACTTCCCAAAATGCTGCTTAAGTATAATAATGTAGAGTATATACAGTTGAACTTATTCAGACAAAAGTTGCAACAAATTGTTTTCCATATCAGACGGAACAAAGAGGTGTTGAAGTACTGGCTTACCATCTTTAATAAGTAGGAGGTGTATTGGATATAAGAACTTGGAGACTGTCACATCCAGTGTTTTCTTCAATTTCTGTTTTAATATCCATAGCTGAAACCACAATAGAGTCCGGACAGTCAAACAGTTCAATTAGTCGAAAGGTTGGAATATCCACAAAGCTGGGAGGTATCTCCTTGAAGTAGTAACAATTTCTTAGAACTAGCTTCTCAAGCATGGGAAAAGATGCATCTGAAGCATTCCATACTACCATCCTCACAGCTAATAGTGACAAGTATTTGAGTGCAGGGAACTCGACATTTCTCACGTCCCAACAGTACTCTACATTCCCCAACGGAAATCCTATCTCTAATCTAAGACTCTCAAGCCTCTGCAATCTTGCAATGTTTGAAACCATTTCTTTCGTCAAGAAACAACCGCCAATGCACAAATGCCTGAGATTTGACGGCAAGACAAAGTAGCTCTCCCATCCAACTGAATTCCAGAATCCCTTAGGGCTTATAACCAGATCAAGAGATTGAAGGTGAGCATGAACTTCCGGTATGGGAAACAAAGGACAACTAGGTACATCAGCAATAATGCGGAGGCTGAGTTCTTCAAGATTGGGGAACCACCACCAGAACCTTGGATTTTTCTCATCCAGACGTATACGACAAGAGAGGAAGGTCTTCAAGTTCTCTAGCATAGTTGTTGAAGATTCTTCAAAAATTGCTCCATCATTGTCTTCCCATACACTGGTCAATCTGTTTATATTCACATGCCTTAGCTTCATCATTTTCCAGATAGCTGCAGGCGATGTCCTTAGAAATTGAACTGAATCAACCACTAGAGTCTGAAGCTCATGTAGATGTGATATCCACTTGAAATCAAATTCTTCGACAAAAATCTCAAGGTACCTCAAGTGAGTTAGCGATTGTACTGATGTAGCCCAAGAACTTGGCAACTCCACTTTCATCAAATTCAACACCCGAACAAGTCTTAGTTTAACAAGTAATGGTAAAGGATTTGATCTGTTCCATGTGTTGAATTTCGGATGAGCAATGAACTCCAAAGACCTAGGACATTCACCAAAACACTTTGTGTACTTGGACTCGAGCATTGGAATCTTATCCAACATATATGCAGAATGATCTAATTGATTAACAAGATCATCATGAATATAAATGCATAACCGTGATTCTTGGGGATACAAATGTTGATCATATGGATTGTATGGCACTGTGAGCTGCATAAACTTTTCTTCTGCAAGTTTTCTCAAGCAAAATTCACGCACTACATCATGAAGTGTGCAGCATTCTATGTCACCATTAATTCTCCTTCTAGAGACCATTACAAGGCTTCTCTTAAGTAGATCGTTCAAGCAAAATCTTGATGCTTCCTCCATGTTCTCTGTGTCAACATTCACTACAAACTCTTCAGCCATCCACAACTTCAGCAAATCATGCACTGGAATTTTATGGTCTTCTGGAAACAATCCCATGTAAAGAAGGCAAGGCTTTAAGTGGTCTTCTAAATGCTCATAACTTGATTGTATTACCTTCATGCTCTGCTCTCCTAAAACATGAGAACGTAAGTCATTGGCAAACTCCAGCCACAAGGATGCCTCCCTTTCCGTTTTCACTATAATTCCAGCAATCAACACAATGACAAGAGGCAATCCCTTACAATGTTTGGCAACTTTTAACCCTGCTTCCCGTAGATCCAGGGGACAACTCTCTCCTTGAAATACTCTTTTCTGCAATAATTCCCAACTCTCTTCCAGTGTTAGAAATCTAAGAGAATAAGGATCACTGTGGTGTTGAAGATGCTTAGCCACTTCTTCAATTCGAGTTGTTACTATTACTCTGCTTCCATCCTGACCTTTAGGGAAACATAATCCCAGGTCTTCCCACACCTCAACTTTCCATATATCATCTAAGACAATGAGGTATCTCCTGCCTTTTAGAGTCTTCTGCAACTTGTCAGCTATGTCGAAGTCCTCTTTGATTTTCCACTCCTTATTTGTAGCTTGTTCAAGAATATCAACCAACAACGTCCTCATGTTATATGTTTGTGAAACAGTACACCATGCTTGAACATCAAAGTGATTAATGATAGAGGTATTGTTGTACACTTTTCTTGCCAATGTTGTTTTACCAAGTCCGGCCATTCCAAAGATTGAGATAACGTCGAGCTCCTTTGATCCTCCGGTCAATTTCTTCATTACATATTCTGCATCTTTCGCAAATCCCACAACTTCATCATCAATTGATGGAAAACTACGTTGGGTAGAAGGCATTGCATGAGCTTGAGATCTTTTTTCACACGTCTCAACAACCTCCATGTCAATTGGCTTGCTGTCTTTCAGGATTGCCTTTGAGTTAATAGCTCTGTCAGCTTCAAGCCTTCAATAAAGAGCAATGAAACAAGATCAACAATCTTCATAATTTAGAGAAAAACCCAAATTACATATTACATATAAAAAGAAAAGTAGTGCTACATGTAAAGTCTTTTGTGTCTAAGTTAAAGGCCACCAAGATATAATCAAGACGAATAAAAGGAGGAGTAAACCTTCTGTCCAAAACCTTGAACTCTATTGGATGGTTTCAGTTACTGGATGTATTCCAGGCCCCCCTGTGTGAGGTTTTTTTTCTGTTTATTTTTATTTTTTCCGTTTACTAGTAATACTTAATACATTTCTCTCCATCTTAGGATGGAGCCTGGAGGTGTGTTTTAAACATACGCCAATATAAGGAAGTAAATATTTAATAATTTTGCAAAAAAAACATTTTAAAGACCTGCAATTTAGCATGAAATTTCCCAGCAAAAAAACTCTGCCTAACTTTTGCTAGTCAATGAAATTTCATTTTATCACAAAATAAAAAGATGAATAAGACAGAAGAAACAGAATATGATTTGGAAGAGTTATGGTCGAAGATTGGGAACTAAGGAAATATTGGAAACAGAATACTTGAAACACGATAGGACACAAATGAAACATAAACAGATTTTCGATTTATTAGTTTTCAATAACAACAACGAACAACTTGTCAGAATAAAAACGAACACTAGCTTCTCATAAAGTAAGAACAAAATTGAAAAGTTTTAAATCATTTGAAGAAATTCACATTTAAGGGCATGTTTGGAAAGCCACATTGGAATTGGATTTGGGCTTAAACAAACAAAAAAAAAAAAAAAAAAAAAT